CCGGCATCTTCAGAGGGCAGGAGCACAGACAGGAGCAGTTCTCTCTGTGCCCAGGTGAAACGTTAGGAAACAAAACTTCCAGAACACGGCCACACAGCCCGGAAGACCCACACCAGCCAAGATAAAGATTGATCAAATCAAGGAATGGAGACCCTCTGGTAGGAAGAAAATCAAACTAAGGAAGCAAGAACAGTGGATGAGAGAGAACCAGAAACAAGAGGAAAAGAAGATACTTTGTACTTTGGAACTCAGAAATTGCTTTTAGATGTTTGCAAAAAAAAAAAAAAAAAATGTTCTGAGTCTTCAGGGGCAAAAAGGGATACTGCTGAACAGGAGGTAGGATGGTCGATACCTAAAGGATAGAGAGAAGCAGCCACACCCAGCAAGAGGACAGAAAGGCTTGTAGTTGTTGGCAACTTACTACTATGAAAAACGGAAAGAAGAAAAGTGCCTAGGTTTATCAAATAGGAATGCAGAAAAGGAATGTGACAGGAATTTTCAGGATTTCTCAAGTCCCCTGACAGTTTTACCTTCCTGCAAACCTATGTCAGGACAAATTATATTTCTGGGGGCAACTACAACCCAATCATCTTGGATTTTGAAGATAAAGGAATTAAAATTCAAGATCCTGGGGGATCAAGATGTCTAGCTCAATCCATTTTTCCAGTTCTTGGAAGAGGATGGGCAAGGAATATAAGAATATTTATGGTATTTACAGGAAATACTTGATTTCTATTTCAGGGGACTAGATGGATGATAAACTGCTGGCATGAGATGGGTTGTACCTTACCTGGTCTATTAAAAAATGTGTGTAACTGAAGCATCATAGGTTTGCTTAGACTTTAAATAGAATCTTATGGGATTTGGAGATGAAGATTGTGAATGGAAGTTAAGTATCTCAGAGAAAAGTTTCAAGCTACTATTGTGAAGAATTTTCATGCAATTTATATTGAGTATAGGAAATATTTAAGATGAGCTTGAGCTCTTAGCACAGGAAGGCAAATACAATTTAGTAGATATAACTGAACAGTTGATCCTATGATTAGAATAGAGTAGTTGAAATATGTTATTAATGTTATGATCAAAGACCAAAGCAAATATTCCAGAAAACAACAAATCCATTACATATAACCAAAAATTATAGTCAAATACTTACATTAAAAAGTATTGTACTGATCAACATTCCTAAGAATTGGACTTCTGATACCAATGGCCATTACAGTGAATTTAGTGGCTCTTCTGGAGATACCAGAATCTGTCAGCTCAGGGGAGGATAGTCCTCTGTTCTGCTGAGCTGGCAAGAAATTGGGTTAAGAAAGACATTACTAAGTTGTCAAGCACACCATTTGGAAGGGTAACTCCACAGCACACAAAGGAACAGAAACAATGGGAATGGCAAAGAATCCTCATCTGCTGTGCTCAGCTTGTGGAAGGGCATTGACCAGGATGACTCTGAACGTTGATGTAAAAAATGATATTGACTTAAATTATTTTATTCTAAATATTGAGCGTTCTTAGAAGTTATTGATTGCTATGTGTTTATTTAATATACCACTCTTCCTTCCAAAGAAATCCAGAATGGTCTGTCTCAGAATAAACTACCTTAGTTTTATGTATCTTCTAAGGATAGTCTCTCAGTTAAAAATTTGAGGAAGAAAATGTGAAAGGCATCCAACTCTTATTAGAGGTTCAAAAAGCCTCCTTTTCTGAAATATGTTGAAAGCTTTTCTGTTCTTTTGATATTATGGATTATTTCATGAGTGTTTCTACAGTTAAAAGAAATAAGTACATAAAGCCAGAGGAATATTAAGCAACTATTTATAGAATATAATGAAACATTAATCTCCAGAATCAGTGATTTTGAATGTAGTGGACAATTTTTTACTTTAGACTTCATCCCCTAACAAGCCAACTCTGTTGTTTCCAAAGCAGACAGTTGCATTTGCATAAGTGCGTAATTAATGCTTTATATCATTCATGTCTATTTATTTATTTGGTAAATTTATATAGTTACCCATCTCCCATACGTGACTGTGTGGCATGCCATTTATGTCATTTGCCTGATTGCATAACTACATAAATGAGGTAAATTGATGCAGATAACAATATCAATTACATGTGACATAAATTACATCAGTGACATAAAGAGTTGTCCTTTCTCTCCAAAATGGTCCATTAAATCAACATTTTACTGTACTAAGTATTATTCCAAGAGTAAGCATTGTACCTCTCCCATGGGTACTTGTCTCCTACAAAGTTTGAGTCTGCTACCCAAGTCCAGACTGTAATTCTATGCCTTAGTAAAATTATATAATGTATATAGTGTCTTAAGAAGTGGCAAATTTATCAGAACAGAAAAAATAAAAAAATTATAATGTTCTGGAGAGTGCAAAAGAAGTGTTGGTATCAATAATGGCAATCAGTTTGGAAAATATATTTATGTTAGAAGCAGCTTTAGTTCTCCAAGGTCAGAGGTTTTACTCTTAATTATTCTTTAAAATTTACCCATTTTTGTATCCAAGTAGCATTCTATACACTGGACTTCATTACTTGCACTCAGATTCTCACTCACTGAATTATAAGGCTGGCTTAGAATAAATAATTCTCTTTCAACTTCTGCCTTGTATCCGAAAAACAAAATAGGAATTCCTGACTACAGCTTGGAAAAATCACTGTGTATATGCTGCAAATATAAAAATTGACCATCACAAATGCATTTTGTGAAAAATTTGGAATTCCTTAAAAGCAAGGGTAAGTCCAATGATTTCACCATTAACGCCAAATGATTTTTATTTCAAAAACAATTACAGTAAGAAGGAACTGATTACATATGCCAACATAATACATCTAGACCCAAGAAACAGACTAAAGACACAACAAGAATTGCTTAATAAAGGAAGGAATCTACCATGGTTAATGTATTTGCAAATAGCTGAAAAAATGCGATCTTAAAGAAGGAGGGTCCCTGAAAAAGATGACAAAATTTGAAATACTTAAACAGAATCAAAGTTATTTATTAGGATGTATTTACAAATTGTTACTTAAATATGACATGGAGACAGAACAGATAAAAAATTGATGCAAAATTTCAAAGAGACAATAACAGTGGAACAGTCTATGGAACAAATCAATACAATTTACACCAAGCTACAATCTGAGGGAAAATTGATACAAAATGTTCTACAGGTGGTACAGACATGGCCAAAAGTATTAATAGTCCTTCACTTTCTCCCAAAGAATCCCAGTTTGCCATGAAATAAGTTGAAACTCATGCAAGCAAATGGTATCCATCATTCTTTATTCCACAGAGCAGGCACTTTGCTTTTGATGTATGACTTAACGTATTCTTGTAAATAATAAAGCAATCCAGAGGCAGCGAAACTGAAGGTAGGATGCTGACCCTTGCGTTACATGAATGCTGTAGGGGCTATATAATGTTTTTATTCCTCTCTCCTTTTTTGAACAGTGATGTTTCCGATCTTACTGGCTTTCCAGAAATGCTGGGTGGACGTGTGAAAACTCTTCATCCTGCAGTGCATGCAGGTATGTTTGTATCAGTATATTACTCTGTTGATAATTCTGTTGTGAATGAATATGCAATGAAAATACAGTTAATAATAAAGAACATATTCTCTTACAGGAAATTGATCCTTTAATTTGCATGGCATCTGCAAAAAGATGGATTGATTGAAGTTCCAGTTGATCTATAGCAGCTTTCCTCAACCTGTTGCCTTTAGCTGTTTGGGGCTTTTACTCTCATCATTATTTTAGCCAAAATGGGGATGTTGAAGGGATTCAGGGGATTGAAGTCCAGTGCATTTTAAGAACAGCCAGTTGGGGAAGGTTGATGGAAAACTGGTGTTATTCAGATGGCTAACTTGTGTCACAGTTACATCAGTTCAGACTGTCAGCTGGGAACATAAAAGATGCTTCCATACAAATGCATTTCTTCAACATGATAGAAATCTCTTCTGTGACACCTTCTTTCACACATCAAAGACTGAAATTAAGTCTTCTATAGAATAACTTATGATAGTGTGCATTGCAGATAGCGTTTCTCAGTTTACATTTTTAATAGATTACTTCTTGGGATGTTTCAAAGCAATATTGGGATAGCTAGGGTTAGAAGAAGAGAAGCGAGCCTGTCTTTCAGAAGTAAAATCTTTACAGAAGAATGTGATGATATATTTTTTTCTTAATACACCAACTATATTCATCTGATTTTCTTATAGGTCATACTGCAGTTCCCCACTGGCCATCTTTAGCATGGGTTTGGGGGTCACTGGACTGTCTTACACTTTCTGAACATTTCCTTCTTTTTCCTCATACAAAAACTAGGCATCCTGGCTCGTGACATTCCACAAGATAAAACTGACATGGAAAAATTGGATTTCAGCCTTGTAAGGTAAAAAGGGTAGTTTGTGAGTTAATAAATAATTATGAAGTAAACCTTTGACATCAGTTGATGGAAGCTAACTTGTATAGAGATTAAAGTTTGTTTTCCAATATAAAATACCTCTCTTCTCTGTGTGTGGGTGCACACACATTTTCAGAATTGATGCTTTTTTTGTGAAAGGACGGTTCCTTATAATTATGCAAGAGATTGACAAATCTTGACTTCTCATCATTTGTTTTGAAACACTGGCAAATATACCCTTTTGAGATTTACCTAGCTTTATTTGGATTTCAACATGTAAATCAACTTCAGAAGTAAGAGTACAAAGTTTCAGGGCCAGTCTTTGATGCTGAGATTTTGGTCTGTCACTTTCCTTTGTCTGCCACTACATAACTCTTGTCCATTTCTTTAATCAACCATTGAAAGAAAAATGAAATTCGGTGAATCCAGTATTGGAGTCATATGTATTCCAAGAAGATATACAAATAAAATGCTTGGTATTCCGGTTTTAAACATGGTACTATTTTAAAGTTAATACCACTCTTAATAGCACAACATCCTTTAATAAGAATGTTCCTTTTCCAATAAAACAGCATAGTTTCAAAAAGTAATTGGGCTCAGTACTTCACAGTGTAGAGCACACGGGTGGATGGTGTTTTATTGTATATGGTTTATTGACCCTTATGGAAGAGTGAAACGAAATAAACATTAGTATATAAATCTGAAAGAAAACCATTTGTGAGCTATCAGTTCTGGGAAAATAAGTCAACCATAGCTACAGCTTGAATAATAAATCAAAGCAAACAGTTATAAAAATATTTCAGTCTGAAATGCACAGCTCTTTTGGAAAGGTGTGTTAAGAATGTTCTGAATTGCTTTGCTGCCATCTAACGGACTTTGGGATATTTGCACTTGGTAGTTTTCCATGCCTCTGGCACTTGGAAGACTCACTAAAACTCTTTCAAGCTAAATTTCTGGCAGCACTTCTCTCTGGAGGTCAATAAGACCTCCTCTCCCACTTTGCCCTGACAAAGCTTCTTTAAAGTTTTTGTCAGGCACTCTGATGTATGTCAAATGCTGGATTATAACAGAAGGCAGTCATTGTGAAAGTAGAAGCTGTAAGTGTTGCTGTACTCAACTTTTGGTTAATATTATCCCATTTTTCAATAGAATTAAGCCCCTTACTGCTGGTGGATGAATAGCATCCTATTTGGAATATATCTGAGAAATTATCATTACTTGGGCTATTCCCCCTCTATTTATTTTCCTTAGTTTACAAACACCCTAGAAGCAGCATATAACGGAGGCAGACCATTGGTTTGATGTAGGCAAGTTCCCAAAACATTCCATTAGTGAAATCTGAGGGATTAATAGTATCAGCAGCATGTATTAACCTGCAGGAAGCCCATGATCACAGAAGTGCTTTTCCCTAGCTTATTGCAGGGCTCTTCCTTTGGCCATACTAGATAGAAACTTTAGGAAGATCCCTATCACCAAAATACCAGTGTTTTGAACTTCCTGAAAGCAATTGTCAGGTGTTGATTCATGGGAGTCTTAACTAGCGTGAGACTCTTCATGGGCCATGGCGGGGATAAAATGACAGTTGCATTACACTGAGACATGATAAAAATTCTTGGGTCAGCAGAACGTCATGTGATGTTTTGGGGGAACACTTGTGCAGATGATAGTTCTGTCTTTTGGATTTAATTTAAAATTACTCCATGCTTCTTTTTCTAGAGTTGTAGTTTGTAATCTCTACCCGTTTGTCAAAACGGTGGCCTCCCCAAATGTAACTATCCAAGAAGCTGTTGAACAGATTGACATTGGTAAGTCAATATGGACTATGTATTGCAAACACATTTTGCTTTGAGTCAGTACTTTGTGGGTACCAACACCTCTTAAGTGAAAACAGCCTTCACATATTGTGTTCACATATATTTCCTTCCATGAACCTTGTTGAATGATACTCTGCCAAGGACAGATTTAGAATTATTGAGTTGGAAGGGATCACACAGGCTACTGAGTCCTAGTCTCTCCTCAGTGAAGGGATCTAAATCAGAGTATCCCAATACATGGCTTTAATTCATTGAGTAAAAGGGTTCTGCTATTGAGCTACTATTGCTGTTAGAATTTTTTTCTAGCATTTAATTGGGATCTGCCTTCCTGGAACTTGAACCCATCATTTTGCATCCTGCACTCTGCAACTGTGGAGCAGAGTCTTGATCTTGATCATTCCAGATATTTGAAGAGCACTGTCATGTCCCTCCTCAGCCTTCTATTCTCAAGGCTAAACATTCCCGGTTCCTTCAATCTGTCCTCATTAATTCCCTGGGTCTTTTTTCTTCATTTGAAGATAAGAGATTTAAATTCATTCAGAATCAAGAGATATTCAATGGTCGCATGTCAATCCTACCATTTCACCTTGCTCTTTCCAATTGCCTGGTGAGATGGATACCTTCTTGTTGGATAAGAGTGAACAAAAATAAAGTTTAAAAGCTCTAACTTTTCTTCATTACCTGATAACACTTTGCCATATTCAACTCCTTTCTTCATTAACTTCCCCTGCCTACTTATTATTGTTGGAATTGACCTTGTTAATATCCAATATACATATTTGTGCTCAGTTTCTGTTTTCCTTGAAGTCAAGAACTAGTTATTACATGATTTCTCTCCCCAGTATTCTTTCTGCTGATACTTCATTAAGTCTTTCCTAGTGATCAGCAAGAAGTGAAGGGTAGCTGAACCTCTTGTGCCTTCTACCATCTTGTGAAAGAGAAAGTTGTTAGCAGCTTTCCTAAAAGTTTGCAGAGTTTGTCCTCCAAAATATGTTGTAGAAATTAAAATCGTTACTACTTTGTGCCTTTTTCAAAGACCTGCTGATAGTAGGATGCAAAAACAGTGAGTTCCAGTGGTGCAAAATATCTTTTGTATCTCATTTTTGGTTGTCACTTTTAATCCTTTGCTTGAGTATCAGAGAGAGTTGTTTTCTTCTTTCTTTCATCTGATAAATCCTCTCTCATCGGCTGAAGTGTGACCATTCTTTTGACTTTTTCAAGAACTTCTGCAAGCTTGCACATGCTGCAAATATATGCCAGGTTATTTCGTGCAGGAGCAGAACTGTGCCACAAGCGTTGCAGGTACTCCTGCAGATTCCTATATCGTTACGTTTGTTATTTCAGGTTCCACCAGTAGAAGGGTTTTGTTCATTCTTGTTCCCTTATCAGGTTAGCCCAGTGCATGTTGTTAAATTAGAGAAAAACACCTTTAGGAATTTCCTTGCCAGTTTGCTTTGGCAAACTCCTGTTAGTGCCTCCCCCCCTTTTGCTAGTATGGAGGTATATTAAAGAGAGAGATCAACGTGCACATTGATCTGATTTGCATGTGATAGCATTAAATGTCTGTGAAGGCAAGACTTTTGATTCTGACAGATTATTTGGTATCAGTGGGTGATGAAATGTCATGAATCACTGTTTCCACTGGATCAGATTTTGTGAGACTGATATTGTTTTAAAGGGGTAGCTTATGTTGACAGTATTGGGTTTGTCTGGAGTCTCTGAGCTTTTTGAGACTAAGTATTCAATTGTATATTTCCTCTTGTCTATAATAACATGGTTCAGATATCAAACAATGAGTGGTAATTGTGTTCCAACTGTATTCTTTTCTCTCTTCATCTTCCTTTGTGGCATCAGTTACTGTATTGACATCTTTAGGCCTCAGTTCCACTGAGGTGGTCAGCCTGTGATTGATCTGTGCATAGACTGCAAGTGGAAGTTAATGTACAGGTAATTTCCCTCCACTATATAAGAAGATTGCACATCTGTTTTTTGCTAATGTGCACATTTTTTTGTAAATCAGAATTTTAATGAAGGAACATTTAAGCATGACTTCACAGTACTGCACAAACGTGAATGTTTTAGTGGGAAGCAGGAGAAAACTTTGCCACATTTATTCTTCCTTAGAGAAAGGAGGCAGACACAACCTTCCTTCCTCATGCTTCAGTTTGAGAGAAAGGGATTCAAACACATCTTGATAGTCCTTTGTCCTGTTTCCTCCACGCAGCCATGGATCAGATGGCCTTGCCAGTCTTGTATTCTTTTCCAACTCTCTGTGAAATGGTGGGGCTTCATGGACCAGGTGGTATGTCTCCATGGGCTTGATACAGTTCTACAGCTTCCAGTGCTACTAGCTTAGCTGTTGGTTTCCTTTCTCTTCCGTCCCTCCTCCTGGGACAGTTGAGATGGCCATAGCTGCATCTTGGTCAACCAGTGTGTCCTGGCACTTGGCCTGGTTTGCTTTCTGAATGCTGCTCACTCTCATGAGGGGAGGGCAGGATCCCCTGATCCCCATGAATGAAAGTATAATGCAAACAGAATGATTCCTCTGGAAACTGTGAAACAAATGTCCGTGCTAGACTTTTTTTAAAAGTTATTGTTGCATTATTTTGAGAAGGCAATTCAGAAATGGTTGCAGATATATTGTTGGGTGGGTTCTGTTAGTAATGCATTCTTTTGAGTTATTGGAAGGCTGACTGTAATACCTGTGCTATAAATTGTAGATGTGAAAGACAGTGAGCTGGTGTCTGAAGTGCGTATATGATATTTTCTGTGTTTCCTTTTATCACAGGAGGTGTTGCTTTACTGAGAGCTGCAGCAAAAAATCATGCCCGTGTGACTGTTGTTTGTGATCCTGGGGATTATACTACTGTAGCAAAGGAAATGAAAAACTTCACTGGTAAAGATACCAGTTTGGAAACTCGGCGTCAGCTGGCATTGAAGGTAACTTATCACAATCTATATAGTGTGCCTATTACAACCTTTGTTTTTTAAATACCTTGATGACAGCTGCATCTCTGTCACACTTTTTGTAGGCCTTTACTCACACTGCTCAGTACGATACGGCAATTTCTGACTACTTTAGGAAAGAATACAGCAAAGGAGTATCTCAACTTCCACTGAGATACGGCATGAATCCCCATCAGACTCCTGCTCAACTCTATACTTTGAGGCCTCAACTTCCTCTCTCAGGTAAGATGCACTCCAAATCCACTCTGAAGGCGCTGCAGCAGGATCATTAATAAATAGCAATAGTGTTCAAAGTATTTCAAGTATAATAAGTTGCCATAGTCTTCACAATAATTTTGTCAGGTAGGTCAGTTTCATTATTTTCATTATGCTAATAGCTTATGCTTAAAACTGCCTGAGTTTTTAAGTTTAAATCTCTGGTGCCTGATGAATTGCACTGTAGCATCTGAAGCAGTGTACTGATAGTCTGGCTAAAGCTTTGCTATGTGGAGAATAGAACAAGTGCCCACAGGACCCCCATCTTCAAAAAGGGGGGAAAGAAGGATCCCAGGAGTTAAAGGCCAGTTCAGTCTGACCTCAGTAACTGGGAAGATTCTAGAGAGATCATAAAGAGCTCAGCCTGTAAGCATCTTGAAAAAAAATGCAATGATTATGAAGACAAAGCATCTGACAGAATTCTCCACGATATTCTGATGAGCAAGTTAGTTAAATGTGTGCTGGATTGAGTGGAAAATTGTACTCAGAAAGTGCTTATTCATCAAACTCATGAGAAATATCAAATGCTGTACCCTTTGACAATTATTAACTACATGGATGAGGACATAGAGAAAATGTTTATCAGATTTCCAAATGCCCCAAAGTTAATTGGGATAGTTAATGCCCTAAAAGAGAAAATGAAATTCAAGCAATCTTGAGAAGCTGGAGAAATGTACTGAAATAACAAAATGAAATTTAAGAGAGGCAAATGCAGAGGTTTTCACTTAGGAAACAGAAATCAGATGCACAGGTATAGGATGGGGGATATTTGGCTGGGCAATAGTACTTGTAAATCATATTTGATTTCAGATGGAATGTGAGTGAGCAGTGTGATGTTCCTACAAAAGAAGCAAATATAATCTTATGCTACATCAACAAAACAAAGCTTTTAAATGACAAGAAGTTATAGTTCTGTTGTTTTTTTCCCCCTGTGTTGGTCAGACTCACCTCAAATATTATATTCAGTTCTGGGTAACACATTTAAAAATAATGAAGACAAAGTAAAGCAGGCTCAGAGAAACACAGTGAGGATGCTCAGAGGACTAGAGACAAAACCTTATGAAGGGAGATTGAAGGAACTGGAAATGTTTAGCCTTGAGAAGACAAGACTGAGATAATATACGATAACACTGAAAGAATGTCACAAAGAAAATCAAGGCCTGTTCTCTCATTCTATAGTGCAGAATACGGAAAAATGGATTTCAGTTATTGCAAGACAGATTCTAATTGAATGTTAGCAAAAATGTCCTAATGTAAGAGCAGTTTGACAGTAGTACTAATTACCCAGAGACATGGTGGGCTTCCCTTCAGTGGATGTGTTGACGCTGTGGCTTCAACAGATCCCCATCTCTCAGGGATCCTTTGACCTGGGTTCCTGTACTGATCAGAGGTTTAGGCTCAGTGGCCTAAGTGGTTCCTTCCATCTCTAGGGGACTCTTCTGTGATTCTATTTTGAAAAAGCAAATATGCTGTTGGAAGCAGGATTAGAGTTGATTCTAAAATCTGATTCCCAGCTCTTGGTAGCAGTAGAGGCAGCACAGTCTAATTGGTAAAGTTGGACTATGACTTGGGTAGACACAGGTTCAGGTTCATGTTTACTGGAAGACTTCTTTCCAATAAGTGTCTCTAGGCTTAACTCTTCTGCTTCTTCTGAGTTAAGTATGAAAACTATACTGCTTGCTCTGGGCTGCTGTAGAAATCTTGATAACTAGACTTAGATTTCACTTGGAGTTTTCTTCCCTGCCTGTGACTTGACATACATTGCATACCAATACTTCTTGGAACTCTGGAATATAAGATTTATATATGTATTTTTAAATCTTAGTTTTACATAAAATTATTTTAAATCAGTAAATGAAACTTCAGCCCTCATATAACCCTAGGATAAATCGATAGATGCATTTAACATCTAGCTCTTTTTCCATACCCAACTATTCATATACCTTCTTGCGCTCTAGTCTGTGGCTCTACCCTTATTCTCAGATTTACCTCTTTTTTTCTTTCTTTCATTGTTCCCTCAGATAGTAACTTTCAGATTTCAACCTAGATAGGGATCCTATTTATTTAAAACAAATGTATCTGCATCTGATTTTTACAAGTTAATAGTCCTGTTCTGGGGTTTGCTTCTGTATGGATAAAGAGGCTAATGGGAACATAACTAGGGATCGCTGTCCTGCTTACCCTGATAACACCCCCAAGCCAATGTGTGATTGCCTTTATCTGAAATAAGCCAGACACAGATCATGTCCCTCTGTAGAAACCTCTGCAGGGCTGAGAGTGGTTTCCTTCAGGCAGAGTTTGTTTACACATCAGGCACGTAGGGCATGCTGTAGGGTTTATCCAGGGAGCAGAAGCAGTTATGGAGTCCTTGGGGTTCTCTGAGCTTGGTTTTTTTCTTGCAAACGTTTCATTACCCAGCTAGGTAACATCTTCACTGAAGATGTTACCTAGCCGGGTAATGAAACATTTGCAAGAAAACCACCAAGCTCAGAAAACCCCAAAGACTCCACAGTTCAACCCTGAGCTATACATATTCGCCTCTATTAGAAACAGTTATGCATATTTCTGCTGGCTCCTTCTTATGTTGGATACCTTCTGTAAAGATCTTTTTTTCCTCTTACAGTAAGAAAATTAAGCTGAATTCAGCAAGGTGACATAATTTTGTTAAGCAGAAGAAGTAAGAACCACCACTAACTTACAGCCAGTAGGATTAAGGTGTAGACCTTTCAGAACTGGTGTTCTGAGCCTGAATTGATGGCAGCTGTAGTTTACACATTCTTGTAGTGCCTACAGTATGGCCTTTTTGACTGAGTGAGCTTTTTCATCTCTTTACAGTTCTGAATGGTTCCCCGGGATTCATAAACCTGTGTGATGCTCTGAATGCCTGGCAGTTGGTCAGGGAGCTGAAACAAGCCTTGGGCATTCCTGCCGCCACCTCTTTCAAGCATGTCAGTCCAGCAGGTAATACTGAAACTCCAAGTTCTGGTCTGGTTGCTTGCTGGTGTATTTTCTTCAGGCTGCATGTTAGCTCACATTTTAAGAGATGCTGCATTTCTGAGATGGGTTTGTAAAAAACATGTTCAGGGTTTTAGTTAGAGAAATTGACTTTTTAGCAAAGTTGTGTGTAGCAAGTGATGTGCATTATTAAAGTGGAATAGAAACAATCACTGCAGGCCTCAGGACAACATGTGAAATAATGTCATACCTTTGTGACTTGAAAAGTCACCTTCAGACCTCTGAGAAGAGACTTACCATCTTTCACTTACTTTGTCTACTAGGTGCCGCTGTTGGTGTACCCCTCACCAAAGAAGAAGCTGAAGTCTGCATGGTGCACGACTTGTATCCCACTCTTACACCCTTGGCAACTGCATATGCCAGAGCAAGAGGTGAGTGGGGTCTCAAAAGAGGGCCAGATCTTTTCATTTAACATTCTGGTAGAATCACCTCTCTTCCTATCCATATAATGATGGTGTAGAGCAGTGGCAGCCAGATTGTTTAAGGCTTATTTGGCATTTTCTCACATCTAACTTATACAAAAGACTACCAACCTCATGCTGTTTAGTTACTTTATAAATGCCAGTTGTTATGAAATAGTTGAAAGATAAGTCATTTGTTCAAGCAGCAAATAAAAGGCATCTACATATTTTAAAAATCTACAATGAATGGATCTAACTTTAATTGCTATACACACTTGCACATACTTATCGTGGACTGGACATATATAGAAAAAGTATGACCATACCAACCTGCAGAAAGCAGCATTCAAAAAATGATATGCTGGAAATTGCTAGATTTGCATGATAAGCTTGTGCAGAGAAGAAACTCCCCTCCTGGGCGAGGTTCCATCCAGCTACTATGTTTTTTCTTATATATATGACTTGGATCTTACTCCTGAGAGTTTCCTAGTTTGAAAACATTACTTTTTTCCCAGGCGCTGATAGGATGTCATCTTTTGGGGACTTCATTGCTTTGTCTGATATCTGTGATGTCCCTACAGCGAAGATCATTTCCAGGGAGGTCAGTAACTCTAGCATTTTCTACTACAGTCGTAATTGCAATTGAAATTAAGTCTATCAGTGCATGACCATACATTCAGGGATAGTTTGGGGACACTGTTGGGGGGCTTCAGGAGCCAGAAGGATATCTTAACCTTTGTGGAATGTTAAGAGATTGACTTCCCCTCCCCCAACCCCTCAAACAAGGCCAATTTTTGTCCCTTACTCTCCCCCCAGCAACCAAAACACAGATTGTAAATTTACATGACATCCCAGCATCATGGCTACATGCCCTGTGGCTCTAATAATGGTCCCAGCCACAGTAGTTATGTGCTCCTGCCCTAGATGATTGATCAGTATTCTGCTTCCAATATTCATAACAAAGAAAAGTGGAAATTGGGAAACTAGTCATTTCAAAGAAGGAATTGAAAAAGGACTTTATGAAAATGGCAAGGAACTCATAGAATGCTGAGAGAGGCCTACTTCTGCAGTGTTGGTTAAGGGGTCCCAGACTAGGCAACTCCAGCAGGGATCAAGGGAGCCTTTTCTGTACACTTAAGGGTCTTTCAGGCTGGGTGACTCCAACGCAGGCTGCAGGGAATTGCACAGCACTCCTAGGAGGCAAGAAATCCACAGCCGGCCCAAAGACTCCTCAGTATGCACAGAAGAACTCCCAGGCTGGACAGCTCCAATGTGAGTTGTGGGGAGCCCCACAGCATATGCCAAGATGGGACTTTGGGTCCACAGCCACCAGCAAAGGCAGTGGCCCTGCATGGAATGCAACTGCTGAGCCTCAGAACCCCCAATTTGTTGATGGGTGATGTCTTGGTTTTGCAAATCTGATTGTCTCCACTGCTCAGATCACTCTTATGAAGTGAATCTGTGCCATGCATACAAGCAAAATGTTGCCTGGCAAGATGTTCAAAGTACCAGTCAGCCAAAACCTCCTCCAAATTCTTCATTCCATTGCCTCTTCCTCTGATTTTCTCTCCCTCTCCCTCCAAGCTCAGTCCTTTTGAGTTCCCTCCTCATTAGTATAATTCTGGCTGCTCCTTTGTACTGTACGCAAAAATTGTTGTTTCTGCTATGTGAGAATCAGCACTCAGACTTTGTCTTTTTGTCCCACTTGGTGGTTTAACCTTTATTCATGTAGGTGTCTGATGGGATTGTGGCTCCAGGCTTTGATGAAGAAGCTCTCAAAATTCTGTCCAAAAAGAAAAATGGCAGCTACTGTGTACTCCAGGTTAGTATTTTATATTTCAAAATACTTGATGATAATTGATTTAGATGTATGTCTATTTTATACTATATCTGATTTCTTGATTTGCCTGTTCCAAATGTGTTCATACAAACAAAACTAAAAAAAAGATATAGATCACAAAACCACGAGCTCTCATTCATAAACCCATTTAAACTGCATGCAGTGGTTTTTATACTAGAGTATCAAAGGTTTGTTAGTGCAGTACGCTTGAATAGCCTGATCAATCCTGATTGATCATCCCTTGGCTGCATGTTCCTTCCTCAAGTACCTCACTTAAACTCCCTGTAGCCCCACCTCTCTAGCCCCCTCCCCCCCAAGTAGTTGAGTGTCAGGCCTTTTGGCAAGTCCTGAATTTTCCCCACTACCACTACCAAACTGGCAGATTTTTCCTTTTATTTGTTGTTTTTTTTCTTGGTGGGGTTTAAAGGGCAAAATAGGTGTTTCAAGCTTCTGTGCGAACAAAAAATCAGCATGAAACTTTTAGCAGCGCTTGCCCTCTGGAACAAGGTTCCCCCAAAGATCCGGATGGCTCCCACTGTGCTGTTACTTAGAAGAGCTGTGAAGACTTGGCTCTTCACCCAGGCCTTTGGCCAAGGAGAGGGAGACCCCTTGTGTTATTCCATCCTGTGCTTGTCATCTTTTATCTTTTATTGGTTTTACTGTAATTGCTTTGTTTGATTGTTGTGAGCACCCAGAGTCATTGGAAGTCAGGCAGCATACAAGTTTAATAAATTGCTATTATTATTACAACATTTAGATTATAAAATATGAGTGTACCTGATGTGTAATAAGTACACTTTAAGATTCATTCTTGAAGTTTTCAAATGAAACAATAACAAAAGGTTAATCCTCGTGATTCATGGGAGTTGGATATTCCAGTAACTCTCTCACTGACACCAAATAATGAGTCAAGGAAGTGAAATCTTTTTCTCATTTTAGATGGATCCAACTTACAAGCCGGAGGAAAATGAAATCCGCACTCTCTTCGGATTGCATCTAATGCAGAAGAGGAATGATGGTGTGATTGATCGATCGCTATTCAAAAACATTGTTACTAAAAATAAAAATGTAAGTAGGAAAAAGGGCTATCTGCAGGTTAGGTATCTAACAGGTACATAACAGGTGGGTCCCCTAGAATGAAAATGGGACTAGTTTCAGTAGTAAAGATTAGTCCTGTTGCATCTGCTGTTAAAAGGATCTCTGTCAACAGGGCCGTTAACAATCTGTTTTGAAAACTCTGGGCAAGATTGTTTATGAACCAGGTAATGGAACAGTATAAGACAATTTAATATACTGTGCTGAGTGAAAACTGCTATGTTTGTGCAAGTTCTGTGTAAACGGAACAGCACGGAGAAGAACAGAAGACCTGAAATATTAGGCGCTAAGATCACTTTGTCAGAGCTGGGTGGCAATTACAAAAGAGAAAGTGGAGTTCCTTCTATAGAGAACCAGCCCCAAGAGGATGTAGCTGGCAGGCTTTGCTCTAATGTCTCTCTGTAGAACACATACTGACAAATCAGTTGCTGCTACAGATGTGGCAGGTTCAAAAGCAAGTAACTATTGAAAAAAAAGTTTTGGATTTTCTGCTTTCATCTGGATTAGGGAAGAGGGGAGGATTTATTTTTTAAATTAGGGTAAGCTTATTTTAGGCTTCACACTGCTATTTTTGGGCACTTTATGCTTGCTCCAGAATAGCCAAAAGCCATGCTGCTGATTTCCTACAATTGCATCATTAAAATGTCATGCAGGAGGAGAGTCTTCTGTGCCACTGACATAAACCATTCCTTTCCACGTGACGCCTGTGTGAATGACTTATGAAACAGTTTACTCTTACAGGCCAGATATCCATTCAAACTCTAAAAGTCAACACTCCTGTGTTTTGCCCCTTTGAAACTTTGCCTTCTCTGGTGTTCAAGGTCCAGTTGCAACAACAGCAACTTTGGGCTGGGCTGGGCAAGGCAAGATGGCTTTCAGAACTGCCAAAGCTTAAATGTTGACTTTGGCTAGGAATAGAGGAAGCTGCCTTCCTGTTTAGCTCAGTACTGGCAACTTTTATTCAAAACAGCTTTTTAGGATTTCTTTGGTAGCTGTGTCTGGAGACACCAGGTTTGAACCTGGGATCATCTGCATACAGAGGATATAGTTGCTTGTGGAGCTACAGCACATGTTTAAACCTAGTTGGCATTCAGCAGAACCACCTAATCACACCTTTGCAGCTCTACCTGGCTATATACATGTATGCAGAAGATGAACATTAGGAAACAGAATGGTTGGGCAGGAGATGGGAAGTATGTTGGTGGAACATATACACAAAGAGATATTGGTAACCTTTTTAAACTGGAGTTCACGACTCTGACATTTTCAGAAATTGCCTTCCATTAAGAAGCCATTTTTATTATAATTCAACTATCCAACCTTTTGTATTTGGAATGATACAATTTGGGGATTATTTAAAGTCAGGGCTCAGAACAGCCTTTAATTAATTGCCCATTGTCTGCCCATCAGCAGGATAACTCTCTTGAAAACTGAACAGAATCGGACCACATTTGGTGTGCAGAGAAACCAACAAAAGAAATAGTTAAATTTGAAAATGGTGTGGATCCAGCTGGGCTGAGGACAAAAAATGAAAGAAAATGTTCCCTAGTGTAACCCTATGAGAGAGGCAGTTTGGCAGTGACTTGGAATATTGCTGAGTCTTCCACTCTAAACTTCCCTCCCCTTCCTGGTCATGTGACCAGAGAGGAGCTATTAGTAAGGAGTTGGAAAGATTGCCAGAAACCTAGGCCAGCATGTTATATCCTTCAAGAATTCTGACTAGCCAGTGAGTGTTTTCATTTCCTTGCTAATTTGCAGCTAAGTTCCAAGATGTCTTTGTAATAATCTCTTCTTTGTTTCAGTTGCCTGATCCAGCTATCAGAGATCTGATTGTTGCCACTATTGCTGTTAAATATACTCAGTCTAATTCCGTTTGTTATGCCAAGAATGGACAGGTAGGTACATAGGGACATTTAAGGGAGAGTATTTTGTTGTTCTTCCTCATTGAAAGCCCAGTTTTAAAACTGATTGCTATCAAAACAGATTTTACTGTTACAAAATTGTTCCTAACATTTCTAACAATAACAGTTAAAATAACAGTTTTCATCTTACTGTGTGAGATTATCTTTCAAGAATTTGAAGAGTGCTACAATATCTCCCCTCAGACAAAAAGGGATGAGGGTATTTATAGATTCCATAAAAGCTCATAATTTAATTTATTTTAATTTAAGAAGATGTAATCCTTCAGATATTTCTGAGTTCCAGCCAGCATGATCTATAGACAGGGATTGATTGTTCAACAACATCTCACCATCATCAGATTCTCAGATCTGATATAAATATTTTTTCACATACAGTAAAGTTGAATATTGCACAAAAGCACAAGGCTGCCTTTCTGTTATAAGGCTTCATTCATATTTTGAATTACTGAGCAATCAGTGATGCTACACCAGACTGTACATTCTGCCATTGTTGTAGACTTCCAGGCCTTCAGCAGCTCAAATCAGAATTCTTGCTGCACTCATTCATCTTAGTCATCTCCCCAACTTTGTATAGTGATCCTGGGAAATTAACCTGGACAGAGAAAGGAGTTCAGTTTTTTTATCTGTCCCTAAAGCCAAAGCTGGTACGTGGCCCTTTCTGTTTAGAAAATGCAGTTATGTGCATCATGGAAGATTATGTGAAGTTAAGCCTTTCTTGGTTTAAACAAGTACTTTCATAAACATGTCCAAATAATTGGGAGAGAGAGCTTACCTCATTTATTGAAATGAAAATAAAATTATTCTTAAGAATGGTTGGTGCCAGATTGCAAAGCAGGGAAAAGAAGGATCTGAGGAACTACAGACATCTGGCATTATCTAGGAAGTTTCTGTGGCAGATCATGAAGGTGTTAATGATGTGTAAGTACCTTGAGTACAGTGATTACTAGTAGACAGAAAGGATGGGTCAAGAATAAGATTTGTTAGAGAAACCTGATCTATTTTTTTAATAAGAAAACTTTAATAGGTTGTGGGTATACTGTACATGTACTGTATCTTGATTTGAGCAAAAATATTTGACAAAGTAACCTACGGTATTTTAATTAGTAAGCTAATTGAACATTGAGTTGAGCAGCATGCCAATCAAGAAGATACATAGTTGGCTTGAAAATCATACTCAAAAAGTATTCATCAAAAGTGTTCCTTAGCAAATTAGAGAGAAATGTTAAGTGGCTGACACTAAGTCCAAAAATAAAATGTGGAAGTATAGAATGTGGAATACTGTGCTCATATTGTGAAAAAGGTCTTAAAATACTAGCTGACTGCATACTGAATTGTAATAGTATGTACGACTGAAAACCCAAATGCAATTTTAGACCGCATCAACAGAAGTACAGTTTATGGAATGTAATAATTTCACTTTATTCTGCTTGATCAAACCCCAGCTTGAGTACTGAGTCCAGTTTGTGGTACCGCACTTTAACAAGGATTCTTACAAACCAGAAGAGATTTGATGAAAGGCAGTGAGGCTGATAAGAGTAGAAGTTCTGCGCTACCAAGATTCAATTGGAAAAGTTTAGCTTTCGTAAGGGAAAGACTATGGGGGGATAATAGCATTCTTCAGATAAATGAAATGATGTCACACATCAGCATATCAAGACTTGTTCTCTTTTGTTCCATGGTACAGGACATAGAATAATAGATTTAAGCTCAGGGAAGGCACATCTTGATCAAAAGGAAATTTTTCTTAACAGTATGAGCAGTTTGACCATGGAGCCAACTACTGAGAAAAGTGGTGATTCTTCCCTATACCAGATGTATTCAGTCAGCAGAAAACAGTCATCTGTCAGGGTTGCTTAATTTGGATTCTTGCACTGAGGGAAGGGTTGGACTGAATGAGGTAAATGGCTCTTTCCACCTGATTCTGTTAAGCACAAGGACAAATCGAAGGACAAAACATTTGGAGTGAGATAGAAAAGCAAGCTTCCATGACCATGAAGTTTGCTCCTTTGCCTGTTTACTTGGATATAAATGGCAGAGTTGCATGATGGGGCCTTCTCTCAAGTGAAGGCATCAAATGGCATCTTACTGTTTTCATTTATTTTTAAAGAAGCCACGTGGGTTATAAATGTACAGCTTTTAATCTCATTCCAAGCTCATTTTCTTCACAGACGTTTAATCAAATAAAAGTGGATTTTTTAAAAAACACATTCTTGTTCAAGCATTTTCATCTCCTCTTTATCTTAACATGTTCTGTGCGGGAGCCCCTTTGGTCTTTGCAGAAATAACGCTGTGGTCATAAGGGAATTCGCAGCTGCAATTTGGCAAGAGGTGGACTCCGGGCAAATTTAAGTAAAAGCAAGCATTTAGCTGGCAAATAACACACATCTTCATTCTGTTTTGGCACAGCATGTTTTTGACCTGAACGAGCTTAATCCCTGATGCTGGTAAATAAAGAGCTGTGCTTACATTTGGATTTCTGTTTTATGCCAGCAGTTTCTCAAACTTGTTAAGAACATGCATATTTTTCCTCAGTCAAAAGCTTTTCAGTTCACTGCATCCTATGATTTGTTTGTGCCCTCAGGAGGTTATTCAGGAGCTGAGCTGAGCTGAGCAGGGGCAGGGGGTAATATATCTTCTAGGGATCTATTGCCATTTCAGTTTATGTACATGAGGGCAAGTGCTGCCCTTCACTTTATGTAGTACTCATGAAAGTGTACTAAGAGAATCAGTCAGAATGTGCTGAGATCTTTTGCTGATATACAAACTCTTTCTCAGTTGAAATGACAGATCTCAGGTGAGTATTCCAGACACTTACATACTTGACTAGTATACTTTGGTTGTATACATGTTTACTGAGGCTTGAGCTAACTGCTTGTGATGTTCAAAAATCTTGGCTATACCTAGAATGACAAAATTTTAATGGTTTTAGATACCATAGGCCTAGGCAGAGATTTGTTTGCCAATTTATAGATTTAAAGAATGATGATGGTTATGGGCACACATAACAAATCTGTCCCTACTTGAATTTGCTTGGAGTCCCACAGCTTAAAAAGATTGTTACGTATTTAGTGTTGTTGGGTGGGACATCCAAAAGCAGACAGAGATTTAGTTCCATAAAGCACCCTTTCCGAGGCTGTCGTAACTTTGAACCAACGTTAAATGAACAGTTGTTAAGTGAGGACTACCTGTAGAAGGAATATAAGTCAGTTTCCAGAGAGTCAGTTAATGTGACTTCAGTGGAGAAGTTCAGGCAGGAGCTCCGTAAGAAATGTTGCCTGTAAGGGAGTGGTGTGTATTTGTTTATTCTGAAAGCCTGAGAGAGGTTTGCAAAGTGAGATGACTGAATAATTGTTTTCTGTTGAGTAAGCAGAGGATGTTGGTGCAGACACTGGAGGAGAAATGTAGCTTACTGGGAATAAGGTAACTTTACAAGTGGAGACCAAGCTAACAAAAGTTCAGTAGTGAGAGGGCCCTAAGTTGACTAACTTAACTAACTTGAAAGCCTGATATTTGAAGTAATAAAACCCTTTCTACTGGTAATGCTGTAAGGAAAACAAAGATAAATGAACATGGTTCTACAGTCATGACCTTTAGTGATGCTGACTTAATGCAGAAGTATAGACAAAAGTTTTTCATATGCCTTTTAATTATATTGCTCCATGTGTTTCAGGTGATTGGCATTGGGGCAGGGCAGCAATCCCGTATCCACTGCACCCGCCTGGCTGGAGACAAGGCAAACTACTGGTGGCTCAGACATCACCCACGAGTGCTCTCCATGAAATTCAAGGCTGGAGTGAAAAGAGCAGAAATCTCCAATGCTGTTGATCAGTATGTTACTGGGACCATTGGTGAGGTAAAACAATCAGACATATAACTAGAAACAACTCCAGAATCAAGTGTGGACTTCAACTCCCAGAATTCCATTCCCACGCTGGGGAGTGCTGAGAAGTTCAATTCCAATTCTGGGAGTTGAAGTCCACACATCTTAAAGTTGCCAACTTTGGGGGAAAAAACTGCTCTGTATCATTACAGTTTGCTCCTAATTAACTATGGTGAAATTTATCTTTGCTTTCTTCCAAAATATGTCATGCATGTCCAAGAGGAGCTTTGTAGCTGCACACGTGCGTCATTCCTAGTGGATGAGCTAGATTAGGATCACATGGGAATGAGTCCTATTGAAGTTAGTGTGTTTTTCAAAGGTTTGGGACACTGTCGGCTATTATATTATTCTAGATTTGGGGAAGGGGTCTAGAATAGGACATAGGGACATTATTTTGTGGTGGTTCTGGTCCTTCACGGAAGCTAAATTCCAGAAGTGATGAGTAACTTCTGGTAACATTTGGCATATCTTCCTGGAAAATTTAATCATGTCTCTATTTAACATCTCCATGCATTACTAGAAGAAAATAATTCAGAGAGCATGAATTTCGTACCTTTTTCATATCAGTCCATAAAATCCATACAAATGATGATGATTTTTTGTATTTTTAAGTATGAGATTTTGTATGGACTGCATAAAAGAAATGCTTCCTTCCCCCTTCACTCACTCGCATGCACCGCTGCTCCCTTCACGCTGTGCTGCAGTTCTGGGGCTTTGCAGGAGGAAGGAGAAAGCCTCACGAATGGCCAGCAGCTTCCAATGTGAGCTGCAGAGCACATGCCGGAAGCGCCCCTGGAGAATCCTTGAGCGAGCAAAGGGGGAAGGAGGGTGCTGGTGCATGCAAGCGAGTGAAAGGGGAAGGAGGACCAAGAAGCCCCTGAGCCGCAGCATGAGAAGGAGGACCAAGAAGCCCCTGAGCCGCAGAAGGGCTAAGATGGGGGGAAAATAGGCAGGGGGGAGTTGGAGGCAGTCCCTTATCTTACTGAGGCTCAAGGCTGGGAGGGACCAAGCTTGGAATGGCTTGGATTGGGCTGAGTCCTTGGCTAACAACTGGTGGAATTCACTTAACGACAGCAACAGTAATTGCCGGGATTGCTGTTAAGTGATGTGGTCTCGTGACATCTCTCTCAGTCAGGGGTGGGAGACCACATCTAGTGGTTGCTGTCACGACTCTCCCTTCCTTACGAGCACTTTACTGGGAGACCTGGTGCAGGGTCCTGAAGAATCACCATACTGTGCTGTCTGGAGTGCACACGAGCCTCCTGGAGGGCTTGGCTTTCCAGATGCCTAGCTCAGAGGACTTTTCAGAGCAAAGTATCACAGGAAGTGGCCTATCCAGATACATTTCCATGGGGAAGAGCCCTAAGAAGAAGGGATGGGGGTACCTGGCATGGCTTGTGGAGCAGCGGCTCATTCTAAGGACTCATCAGAGAGTACTCGACCAGAAAGAGCCATGCCTTCACTCTGTGGAACCCTCCAGTAAGGTAGTGGCAAATCTGGTCACCAAAGATGACAGCTTGACTCATTGCCCAAAATATTTCATGGTAGAACTGACCATGGGTTTAAGTAACAGGACTATCTGAGCTCTCTTTGCCAGAAAAGTTTATGTTGAAAGAGGGAACACTAATGCACAGAAAAGTTTTGTTACTCTCTGCTGAAATGATTATAAGGCAATTGAATGCTATTATCTGTACCAGAAAACAATTTAACTCAAATGAGATTGAATAATAAAACACACACAAGTCAACAAGTTGTGTTAATTTCTTGAGGCAGTTGGGAGCTCAAGGAAGTAAAAAACAGTATATGATATTTGGCCTAAATTATGATACATTCCAGCATTCCAACTGATGCTGCAGTTCTTAGAAGAGTGCTGTTTCAAATTAGGAGGCTGGTAAAAAGAATTGCCACTGTATTTGCCATGTTTTTCTGAAAGAGATTTCCTCCATCTAGCAGATGATTAAAAAATACATTTTTGCAGGGTGAAGATTTTGCCAAGTGGAAGGCACAATTTGAGGAAGTCCCCAGTTTGCTTACTGAAGCAGAAAAAAAGGCCTGGATTGGAAAATTAAATGGTGTCTCACTAAGCTCTGATGCATTTTTCCCTTTTAGGGATAATGTGGATAGAGCAAATCGGGTAAGTTGGTGACATTGTGATCTCTTGTTCAAGTCACATAATGAAAAGTGTTCTTGTTTAATCAGCTACTCGTACTCTAAATGGAAATGTTTTGCTCCTTGAAACGTGCTTGAAGTGTAACAAGCAAGCTGGATATTCCACACTGGGATGATTGTGGGCAAGTGTTAATTAGAGAACAAATAGTAACCTGTATTTCAGGCTGATACTTAACATTACTTCCTGCAATTCCAAATCAGGCTCCTTAACAGTCTCTCTTTTGGCAGTTTAGCACTAACACTAAATACAAGCTTCATCTCATCTTCTGAATCTCCAAATTCATAATACCTTGACTGACTAACATAAGACATTAGTGCAATTTTAAAGAAGAACCCAGCACTGGCATGTTACCAATCAAAGGAGAGGGAAGGAAAAAATGTTGATCAGCGTGAGTTCAATAAAGCCAGGACTCACTTCTCCTACCATGTATCACAAAGGAGAAACTTGAAAGTCCTCTGACCTTTCATCATCTGCTGAGATGCTCCCCTCCTCTCCAGGGCCATGTAAGGGTTCCTGAGAAGGATAGAAGTGGTGGCATACAACTTTCCATGACAAATAAGTCCTAGGCTTACGTTCTACGGCTGCTTCTGCTCCCCTTTCCTTTTCTCACTGACTGTTGAATTTTTTAAATTACTCTGAGCTCAGCAATCTGTAGCCACTTCTGACACCATTCTGTTCTTAGCAAAGTAGCCCACAGAAGCAGCCCAGCCCAGCACACTCAGGATAAGTCTCTCTACAGTTTTCCATTTCAGCTTTTAGCCAAGTGCAATGTACTTTGGGAGTTACCCTTTAAGGAGACACACCTTTAATTTAGATTTTGCCTCAGGCAATGGGATAGGCAATCTGGATGTAATCAGGATTGTAATCACTCAGTTGTCATGATCACACATTTTTGGTGAAATTTGCAGGGCTGGAAGACAAAATAGTCTGTCCTCTGAAATTATGGAATCCAGTGGGATGTGATGGGCCATTGACATGATTGTTCCTGAGTGCCTTCATCAATGCTAAGATTTTTTATAGAGCTCCGATCAGGGAAGCAAGGAGGATGATGTCTAGAACGTCACTGAGGCTGAAGGAAACATCTAGATTATTACATCTACTGTATTGCAATGAGGGTGATAAAAAGGACTTTCTTGATGCCTCCATTGCGTTCTCAAGAAGCAAATCTACAGAGCTTTTTAAGGTTACATGGAGATTAGTATCATACTCCTCAAAGGCCTGCTGTGTTATATGATAAGGGAGATTTGCAAGGCATGTCAAGATAAAATAATTCATCTTCATAATTATTTAAGTGCTGCCATTGTTTCAGGTCCAAATGGCATGTCTGAAGCAGCCTCTTGCCCAGTTTTATGGGAACAAACTAAATTTTTATAGGCTGAGGATCCAGACAAGCCAGAATACTGCAGCTTGCTCACTTGCCCATCTCGGCCAATCAGGCTATCTTGATGAGGAGGTTGATTGCATTGTTGCACAAAGAGGTGGCTCATCTTGACCATAAGGAGGCAGTGCTTTCACTACTCTTTTCATGAAGTTGCTTGCTCTGGGCCAAAAGGTTTGAAGGGCAAATATCCCTTTCTGGGCAAGGTGATCCAGAAGTGGGTGGTGATGCAGCTGAAAGCATTCCTAGAGGCAAGTGATTCTGTAGGGCCGTGTCTCTGTTTCATCCTGGTTATGTGAAGAAAATTGGCCTTGACTTGGTTGATTTTTACAGGAGAGAAACAGAGATGGTCAGTCTCTTACTGTAACTTGGTCTACCTCTGGCTTTTGAGTCAATTGACAGAGGTATCCTCCACAATCACCTGTATGAACTGGGGGGACTTTTATGTAATACTTCTGCTTTTTATTGTATGTTCCTGAGATTCGTATTGAGAGACTGAAGGTTGGTCCCCTGGAGTCTTACTGTGGAGTGCCCCAAGATACTGTCCTTGATACTATTTGATACAATTCAATATCTCCTGTCTATGAAACTACTGGGTGGTGTCATTAGGGGGTTGGGCTGAGATGTTAATTGCTTTGCTGATGTCACTTCCCTGTTTCTCTGTATTGACTGAAGTGGGAGGGAGGGTGTATCACCTAAACTGGTCCATGAGGAATAGTAGATTGGATGAGGGTCAAAAAGCTAAAGCTGAATCATGTTTAAGTGGGAGTATCTTGTGCTGAATTGTGTAACACCTAACAAAAAAAGTTAATAAGGTGATTGTTTTTGTCTTCCTTTTTCAGAGTGGAGTCCAGTTCATTGTTTCCCCGTCTGGTTCTGCTGCTGACCAAGTTGTGATTGAAGCCTGTGATGAACTGGGAATAACTCTTATTCATACCAATCTTCGCCTATTTCACCACTGATGTTTAAAAATCAGTATTTGAAAGCATATTCTTTATAAAATCTGCATATAATGCCAAAATCTACATATAATCCATTGAGAGTTCCAAAGTAAGATAAAAAGTTCTGAAAACTTCGTTGAAAAATAAAAGTGCAAAACTATCAATAGTGCATCTGAATTCTTTAAGAACTCAGGTCATGGATATGGCTTCTATCAGCATGCAAAATCAATCACTTACTGCTTTTATCATGTTCAACTAAGCATTGTACAAATTGGAAATTTGTACTTTTAAATTAGTGAACCTGATTGAGATGTTCATTAACAGTAGAATTACAGTTTCTCCTGAAATTGATCCCATGCCGATAGAAATATGTTTATGATGATTTGTTAAGAGTAGATAGCTTTTAGAAGGGTGGATAACAGCAGCATAATGAATGGGGAAAGAGGATGTTGGCATCACTTTAGTATGTGTACATGCATCCATCTAATTCTGAAATTGATGCCAAGAAACTGCAGGGACTAGTCCAAGCAGTCTTCAGGAGTCAAGACTGATCCAAAGGCAGGCACTCATGCAAAGAAAACCCCTCATTAAGCAAAGCTGTATGATGGAAGTCTTTTAGCATATTTTGTCAGCATATAAAGTTGGTATGTGAACAGTGAAGAGGATCATTTTTAGTTCATCCCTTCCTGCAGTCCCATCTCTACAATTTCTAGTATTCCATAATATATCCACATCTCTTCTGTTATTATAGAAACCTCAATGCGCTAAAATTCATTCTTTCTAAAATAGGGAGATAATAACAGGCTGCAAGATGAATATGAATGGTACCAATTGTTAAATGAATAAATGCATTTTAAAGTGACTGAAGTATCTTTTGCCATTTTGACAGTGGGATAGGTAGAAATAATACTAGGAGAAAAGGAACTGTCTGCATGTGGTCTTAATTTTTTTTTCTTTTAAATCTCCATTGTGAGATTTCAATAACAAATGGTATGTTTTTGTCTGCCATAATCAAATGAGTATTTTTAAAAATCAAAAGATCTTCATTATAGGCATAATTAGTTTCATTTCTAAATTATGTTTCTATAGAAAATTGTTAAAGTGTCTAGGAAAAAACCTGGTGGCATAGACTTGCACCTGACTACTAATTACCTCACTGGACTACTGAATCAGTTTTTTTTTTTTAATTGTAAAGGCCATTTGTTTGCAATTTATTAAACTGGGAAACATGAACTATCAGTTTACTGTATTCCAGAATCCTCAAAATTGGCAAGAAATCTAAGTGAAACTTTGGAGGACCTGCAAATCAGATGTTGCCCTTCACATGCCTGATTTTAGCTAAGGGGGAATGAAAATGGGATGAAACTGCTGAAAACAGTATTACTAGACATGTTATTCAAACTATTTTTGGACTAGAACAGGAGTCAGCAACACAGAAACTGCAGATATCAGCAGTGCTCCTAGGCAGTATCTATGGACCACCAGAATTACAAAATATGACACTGAGATTTGAAGTAAAAGATCAGAATAAGAAAGATTGCATTGCATGTTTTCAAATGATTTAAAAATAGCTATTTAAATAGTGTTCTGCCTAGCTATTAGGCTTATCCCAAGACTGAAATTCTGAAGCAGCTTCTACAAGTACTTGGCCAAGAAATATGTTTTGTTACAATCAGGAGTGATAGCCATATACAGTGCATTTGGAAAGTATTCAGACAGAACCTTCGGCCCAGTCTGAGGTCCTGAGCGCTGTGGAACAGGTTTTCA